ACGCAAATAATACAAAATGCACGTTAAGCTTTGTAACGGCAAAGTAACAAACAACACCACCATCATGCAAAGCTTATAGTGCATACATATGTTTGTGTGTTTGTTCGTGCCCTTAATTGTGTGCTTTTACACCACACACAGCTAAGGTGGTTAGAAAAATGGAAATGTCATAGCCAAACACAACACTTTTAAGAGCGGCAAAACAAAAATTTTACACCAAAAATGCCGTAACAGCTGTTTTGGTTATTTTTATGTTTTTTTGTATTTTTCATTTTTTTAATTAAAAAATATCATTGTTTTCTCTTACACAACTTCAATTTTGTTAATTAAAAATTGTATTATTTACTTTAACAATTTTTTCATTAACATTTATAATTTTAATATCACACGACAAATTGGATTTTTTTTCTTCTTAATTATACTGAAACTGCCATAAAATAAAGGAAAATCTGCAAAAGCCGTTAACATTATACAACGAAAAGCTTCACTGGTGTGTTGAATTTGTGTGTTGAGGTGGTGAATTAATTTCATTATACGCTGTTACATTAGAAAAAGCTTTAAAAGTCTTAATTTTGCACTAATACAGGGTGAAAAGCGTCGCTTCAATTTTGAAATGAAATTTCAGTTTTTAAAAATTATTATGCTGTTATGCTTTTAATCTTTCAATCTTTCAATCTTTAGATCTTTAGTGCATTGGATTATTTTTAATGTATTAATGTATTTTTAATTAATATGTTCCCTATTGAACTTTATTTATTTATTACTGTATTTTAAATAGGTTTATATGAATAAAAAATAAAAAACTGTGAATTCAGTTTTATATATTTTATATATCCTCATTCATTTTTTTTATGTATATATTTTTATATATATCTTCTATGTAAATATAGGCACAGTGCCCTTTTTTAGCTAGAAGAAAATTAAAAATCTTCGGATCCCCTTTTCTCACCGTCGTGACTGAGCTATCATCCTGTAATGTTAGGGACCTGGCCAAGTTTATAGAATTGTCAGGTTGGTTATTCTTTACCTGATGGGGGAGTCGTTTAATTCTTTGTTCATACCGATGCTATTTCTGTGGTATCACAATGGCCCATTATTTGAGCTCAAGTGGGTTTTTTTGGAAACAAGGCCGCCACGCTGACCTACCTACCTAGGCACATAACCATTTGAAAAAAAAAAGATGGAAAAATAAACTCACAACAACTCTAATTTTATTTATTTATATTAAAGTTATTAACACTTCAATGAAAACAAAATCGAAGCTTTTGAAATGTGGTACTACAGACGTATTGTGAAGATTCCTTGGACAGACAAAATGTCAATTGAAGAATATAATTTATTCTAACAAGTTATAGTAAGATCAATTTATGTTGAGATTAATTTATGTTAAATACGTTATTTAATATAAATTGATCTTAACATAACTTGTTAAAATACACTGCAAGAAGTTCAAATAAAAGTAAGAAAAGATAGAGTACTCCTAAAAACTATCAAAATAAGAAAAACGAAGTATTTTGATTTTGATGATTATGGAAGGCTGAATCGAAGACAAGGGATGGGGATGGCAAGGGATGGGAACAGCAACGGATGGGGAGGGCATCAAAAATTATTGGAGACTTGGTACATACTGCTAAAGACAGTCAAATTTTGGTTAAACAATTAAAGAAGAAAGTTATTAACACAAACAGCGTAATACCCAGAATTAGCACTGATCTTTCTGATTCTAGTTCGACCTTCCTCTACCCACTATTACGAGATATTGTGAATTCAAAACGACTTTAATAGCTAATTGAGGCGGATTCATACGTTCCTCCACTTCAACTAACTAAAGTCATTATTTCTAATTGACAATTTTACCCATTTTTTGTTAAAAGGGTTTAATAAAGGATTTTCAGAAGTAAATATATGACAAACATTTTATAATTTCCTGTTTATCTGAAAAAATTTTAATTTATATATATTTGAATGGACTAATTGGCCAATATTGAATAATAAACAGCTTTTTAAAAAATATTTGAAATTAATAAAAGTAGTATTGAAGAGACTAAAGTATATATGTCTTGTTTAAAAAGCTATATAAAAATATCTATACAATAAAACTTTATATATATGTAAAAAATTTATATAATTACATTTAATGCAAATTATTTAAATTATTTTTAAAACTAATTTATTTTCTAATTAAACATTATTCATTTGAGATTATTATTTCTAAATAACCTTCTTAGGGGAATAGAAAAATTAACTCTTCCCCTGTTTTTTTTATTAAAAGGATTTAATGGAGGATTTTTTTAAAGTAAAAACATAAATTTGCATTTTAATTCAAATTTTGTATATAATTAATTTTATAATTTATTGTTTTAATGATCAATATAATGATTTCCTAAATGTGAAATTAATCCTAAAAAATATATTTTTTTCTTTTGAACCGAAAACGAAAAGAGAAACGGAAATAATTCTGTTTTGAAGCCCTGGTAGAAATGTGTACTCCTTCGAGGATTAGCATGAGTCTCATAACCCATTTTATAAGAAGTGTTAGGAAGCACTCCAAGGTTTTTAGAAGTGCTTCTAAGAGCATATCGCATTGAACGCGTATTTATTGCAAGCTTTCATTCACAGTGCCTGAACTAGGTTTATTATATTGATGTATCTTACTATATTATGTTCTCTCAGCAAATCTGAAAACATAATGCGAATATTTATATACTCATACGAGTATGTAATTCAGTAAAAAAAATTCATCTCAGATACTGGGTTTTAAATTTAACTTCAATACAACTTATTTGCAATGAATTTGTAATAAAAATTTAGCATCAAAAATATTCACATCAATTTTTTACGACGTACTTACCAATGAGTTTTACAATGGCCAACTGGTACACCCACGAATCCAAAACATCTTCAATATTTCGATTTTTTCTTAAGAAACTGCAAGTCTGCTTACATTCAATAAACTTTAAAAGAAAAACTAAATATTTTTTTCTAAGAAAAGTGCATCAAACACCGATATATCCGAAACTAAACTCAATACAGCGAAAAATCTTCCGCACATCACTCATACGTTCCGTTGCACATAGCAAAGGTGGACACTGAAATTTGTGTAAAGAAACTGAGAAGAAGTTCAAATTGGATTAAGTGAAGCATAAAGATACTTAACACGCTTTGACAATAAAATTCGTTTCAATTATTTTTGTGTAATTGCACTTGTATTTCCAATTAAAAAAATAATTACAAAAACTTACAAAACTTACAAAAACTTGGAGGTGATAATTGCGGAGTAGGGCATTTAATCGTGGAATAGTGAAAAATTTAATGGAATTAGTCAAAATCCAGCTGATGGAATTGGATTAATAGTTGTATAATCACAAAAAGATTTACACTATGAAGCACGCGAGAAGGTTACAGAACTACATGTCACGTTTTCCTTCAACAAAAAATATATTATCGTATATATTCATCTTTACATTTCTAATGACAATCAAGTAGCCATTATGTCCCTTCGTGGTGCTTTCATAATATCTACTTACCCGAAAAGATCCCTGTCCCCAGTTAACCTGAATTGTGTACTGAGTCACAAAAACATTTATCGGTACTATCAATATTAGTGCCGTTGTACTAACTCAAAACAACGAAAAATAACAGATGACGGTACTCCCTTAGTCTCAGTTAAACAAAATGCACCTTACATTTCAAAATGGCCACATTGAAATGATTCTATAAGTATATAAATATAAGCATAAGTATTTATGTCAAGCCCCACATATAACGTGATCCGTCTACAATCAAAAAACAAAACAAAAAGCAAATAAGTCTGACTTTCAAAGGCAGTCATCGTACTGACGGAATATCATCTTTTACAAGGGCATGTCATCCGATTAGATAAGATCACTGCTCTACGCTATTGTTGCCCAGCAATCATCAAAAGGCATATACACGCTTAAAGGTTTCATTCTCTTTAGTGGCTACCCGATATCGCATATATAGTAATTAAGTACAGGATGAAACGATTGAAGTATTATCTATTTAATCGACCATATCTTTTTTGTGTGAATTTATTTTTCATTGATTCAAATTACAAAAATTTGTGAAAATAATTAAAATTTCAGAATCGAGCTCCATGAGAGCTCGATGTGGTCACCTTTTGCTTTCAGTTTAACCTTCAATCGGTCAAAAAATGAGTTGCGTGCTTCACGTATGTGAACTTCCGGTATTTTGGCCCATTCATTAACAATGAGTTTCTTCAGCGCATCAGTACTGACATATTTTTTAGTCCTCACCTTTTTCTCCAAAATATTTTAAATGGAATAGTCCATCGGATTTGCATCTGGCGAATTCGAAAGTCATTGTGTGAATGAAATCAAGTGTGGAACATGATTTTTTACATACATAATTTTATTTTTACATACATACATACGTTTACACACTTTGAAGCTATTATAACCACCTCTCCGAAGAGGGTGTATTTTTTGGTCTGTATACTATGTTACATATTAATGTGTTAGGAAGTCGGGCACACCATTTCGAAAACGGTTGGTTCACAAAGCATTCCACATCCTCGCCACAGAATGAAAAATTAATTCTCTCCATCCACAGTAAGGACTTTTATTTCGGATCTATAGTGATTGATAAGCTTTTTTATCCAACATTAGCAAATACATCTTAAATTGAGTTAATTCCAAATTCAATAGATTGAAAAAAGTGGCTTTAACTAATCGTCTCTGTTCTTTTGATTACAATCCAACAACTGTGCCTGCCTTTGGAAATAACAAAGGCTGTGACTTTTACGGCTCACAGTATCATCCCATTTTGGGGATGATCCCATCCTATCCATTTTTAAAAAATTAACTCACTAAAACTTACCCACTGTATTTTAATAATTCTTAATAAATATATAAACCAATAATTAATAATTATTAATATTAACTTTCATAAAGTTTTTTTGCATTTTTATTTGGAAATTCATAAAATACAAGGAAGAAGAAAGAAAGAAGGAAGGAAGAGTAAAAGTGTGTAATAGGAAGATTTTTGAAAATGAGAAAATATAAAACTTGTCCAACCGTTATAGTTGTCATACATTCTCCAAAAACCAGTGTCATATCTTAAGTCGATGGAAATGCTCAGGCAGGCGTTCAAGTTCTTCGTCTAAGAAAATTTTGATATATCTTTATTTCTTAATTTATACTCTACAATCTATAGTACTTACGTTTGCCAACCTGGAAGGTTTGATAGTGAGCTACGCTAGTCTCCACGATCTCTCCAAAAATGACCTTTAGCACGTTTTGGTTAATTTGATGACGAAGTGTAATTTTAAATTTTTCGACATTGTCATATGTACCTTCAACCTTACCAACGAACTTTTTCTTGTCAAAATCCTGGTTAATGAAACCATTCACGTTGCAAATCGCAGCAAGTTCAAGGACATATGACATAAACTGGCCATCATGCAAAAGGCCATTTATTTCGAATTGAGCTAAGCACCGCTTTCCGTTTGCCATTATAATTCCTGGATGCGAAATATAATAATATATTAATAAAATATTTAGGATCAGAACGTTCGAGAGTACATATTTATTTGATTCCTTAAAATGAGAACAACCAAACCAATTTTCTTAAATATAATCTTATCTTTTCAAATATTTTTAAAACATAAACGACATGTATTTACAAACCAATATTTAAGTTAAAAATTGTTATTTAGTCTTCTTTTTAATAACTTTATTAAAAACTCCTAGTCGTTCACTAAGTAAAGTTTCTAATAAATTTTAGAAACTATCAACTAAACGTATAATTTCCAACTTAGAAATATTTCAGTGCCTGATTTTTTGGAAATGAAGAATAATTTTGACAAGTGAAACGATTAAAAATATGCAATATGTGGCGAACACATTAACTAGCGCAACGCCATCTGGCGTGATGTAAAAACCAAAGTACAAATCGCAACTAACTTAATGGTCCAGCGTCTATTATTATTTAACGCTTCTTCTCAGGAGCAAGAGAACAAAACAATAATTACGTATAAAACAATAAATACTCACAAAATAATAACCATCCACAATATATATTTTAAAGTGTTTTAATTAATAATAAAGTTGTAATATAGAAGTACCACAAATCTTTTTTTTATATATATATCATGTTAGGTTAGGTTAGGTTTTGGAGTGGCGGCCTTATATACACAGACAAGGTGATCTGTATACGTCTAACGCTGAAAAAAGCAACGACTACCCCATTTAGGTGAAGGAAAACCAATTCGACAATTCAATGAATCTGGCCAGGTCCATAACATTGCAGGACCGATCTGACAGCTCAGTCAGATCGGTCAGAAAGGGGGCCCCAAGATTTTTGATCTTCTCTTAGCTAAAGATGGGCACCGACACATGAGATGGAAAACAGTTTCCTCCTCATCTTCAGAGCCACAACCCCGACAAAGCTCATTACAAGGAATACCTAGTCTCATAGTATACCTCCCTATTAATCAGTGACCCGTCAGCATCGATACTGTAGTGCTGAGCAGATATTACGATATTGTTCTCGACATCATTAGCAGTTGTTATCACACCTACAATCAACCGCTTAGTCTTAAGGAGTCTTCACTATAAATAGCTTCAAGAGACTTTTCGCCTCTCAACACGACTTACCATTTTCATATATAGCACAAAATATAGTTTTAAGAACTTGTCTTTTAAAACGTTTTAATCCTATGTGTGCTTATCTGTTGAGCTTTCAATTTTCACTTGCAAAAAAACAGGAGTCATCACTTTTATATATGAAACATTTCTCTTGATTTTGATTTTCCAAATAGTGACCTACGTTAATATATTAAGGACTTAACTCTCTAAATGTCCGATAATATAGTAGAAAACCTTTTTTAAAATGGCACCCTAACTCCATTCGTTACATTCCAGCCCTTTACCGATGAAAATATTCGTTGCCTGAGTCTTTTTCAGTATTGAGAGTTATATTTCACCTAATCGATCGATATGTCAGTTACTGCACTTGTCGCATTAAAGACACTAAGTGAAAATCCACAAAACACTGTCGAAAAACGATTGCTTCCAACAAAAACTATTATAAGGTGTGATATTTGGTCTGGAGATATGATAGGTTTAAACGTGTTTGAAACTGATGAAATTTTAACAATTCTCATTGCTATGATCAATTTTTATTCGCGCGAAATAGATGGGATGGTTAATGATGAGTGGAAGATATATGGTTTCCAGAGAACTATTTCAAAACCACACAACAGTATGTATTGTTTTGGCTGTGTTGTACAATAAATATCCCGGACACATGATTCCATATTTTTATGATATAAATTTGCCATCAAGATCAAGCAATTTGTCTACGTCTGTAGAGTTATGCAAAGAACAGTCTTTTATTTGTTAGTGTAGACAATGCTTTAACTTCCGACCCTTTAAAAGCGAACATACCCTCATTCGTTAATTTTCAGTTGTACTATTGCCAGTTATCGATAAGTTATCGATAATTATCTCAAAACAAACCAGTAACTATTATATGTCCAGTAACAACGTTGTATTTCATATCTAATGACAAGTTCTAGACAACATATATAGTTGAAGTTTATTTGAGATTTGAATGACAACTAATTCTATTAACCTTGGGAATCACAAAATGGATAGCATGCGATATTCTGAATTAACACAATATTTTTATTATTATTATTTCCTTGGTGTGTATATAATGTATTAATCTATAATACACTAGGTAAAGACATTGCTCTTTGTAAGAGCATAGGGCGGAAAGAAACCAAATTGCCGATGTTCAACGTGGATAGAGCGCAGCCAATTGACTCATGGGCGAACAGACCTACATGAACCTTGGGGGTTCCACTCAAAAGTCATTTTTACAATGGCGGAATTGTCTTTTCGGAGTATGTGTCCAATTCAACGCCACTTCCGGCTTTTAACCTCGAGTTCTATTGGCACATTTTCGGATATGATGAGAAATTCGGTGTTTAAGATTAACCGTGGCCAAAAAATTCTAAGTTGTTCTAATAAGCAATTGATATCAGTTTCGCTATATATACCATATATTAATAATATCGTACCTTTAAAATAATTCAATATTTTAACGGTCATAAAAGCACACCCTAAACAGGGTACCACCAATAATTCTATTCTTGAATTGAGAAAGCTTTTACAGGACAACTTTTATCATAAAAAAATATATTTTTTCGATTTAGAAATATTTTAAAAAAAAAAAATAAAAAAAATCTTTAAACTATAGTGAAATAAAAATAAAGATATTATAATAATAAATTTAATTTACTTACTGATTTCTAATATTAAATGCATACATAAACAAATAAACTCATATGTGAATACATTCAACTTGGCACCTACCAACCACCAGGATAGTCAGACGGTTTATGAGAATACTTATTGGGGTTAGCGACACTAGTGAAATCGTTATGGGTTGTTTGTGATCGTATGATGAAGTGAAGTGAATAGGCCATCGTGAATTTTTCTTCCCAAAAGTACGCAACGAATATAGAAGATGGAAACACATCCATGTGCAATTATGATATTACTTTGTCATACATATTTTGCCTAGGGAACCTAATGGTTACTCAAAATACACGGATAGTATGAAAATTGAAACTATATAAATTTTTATATTATAGACATAAATAATGGTAGATATTATATTTAATTGAATTTGTTTATAAAATAAGAGTTTTAGTTTATATTCAAGATATTTAATGTAGCTTTAAGATAATGTTATATTCTGCATTACGTTATTATTTTTTGATATTATTAATAAAAAATTAAATCTTTGATTTACAATAAGTTATAATATACAATAGTAATATGTTATAGCCAATAATAAAAGATATAATATTTAAAAAATATAATTAATTATTTGTTTAAAAATATATAAGGGACAGAGCCCTGAAGCTATACGCAAAAACTAACAGACTGCCCTACATAGCACTATCTAACCTCAGAGACGTCACTAGCCGTGCGGGTGGTAAGCAGATCTTAGATAAGTCATCGAGTAATCAGAGAAGCTTTTGAGAAATACATAAAATAATTAAAGAAAAGGGAGAGACTCTGTAGAAACCCCTCAGGTAAGAAAGAGTAAATGTGCTCATAAAAACCTCAACATAAGAGCAAATATAAAATTATTAAAAAAACAAATATTTTTAAAATTTCTATATAACGTAACTATAAAATAAATCCCTTATATATATCAAACAAATATAATATACAAATATTTATTAAATAATTAAAAATAAATTCGATAAAATTAAAATAAAATGCATATTAAAATTAGACTATATATATAAATAATAAGTAATAATAATAATAATTAATTAAAATTGTTAACAACATAACAAAATGATACAACTAATTAAATAAATTCTAACAGTTTTTATAACACTTTTAGCACAGTTGAATCGACCTTTAGAATCGAAATGGTAGACCATTTTTGAGGCGCCTAAAAAGCCCTTTGGTTTTTAAACACACTAAGATTTGATATCTATCTGCAGACAACATCCATACGAGTATCACTGAATTATCACATATCCAAAACGCAAACTCTATATAAAAAAAATAACAAATGAAGTAATATACGAAACCCAAGCTATGGACGTACATTTTTATTTCTCTGCGGACACTATGCAAGACATTGGACGCATAGAGTTTTGAAGACATGTTGTCAAATTGTTATTCATGACATTTTAATTTAAATTTCGAAAATATTATCCACTGATTATCAGCTATGTCTCCGCGATTGAAACTACTTCCAACAATAAAAATAATTTTTGAAGACATTGTCACAAAATTGTCTGCGAAAAACGTCTACATCAGTAGAGAGTTACAGAAACATATTGTTAATTTAGTCTGTCGATTACTATGGCTGGTGCTTTAAAATCGTATACATGTTCATATATAAAAATTTATTAAACATTATTTTTTATTACTTTTAAAATAAATTCAAATAATTGCAATTTTATTTAGTAAAAGCAAAATATAATTATTCGACTATATTATTATATTTTATTTCTTTTTTGTTGTGATTAAAAATCAGTTAAATTTTAAATATTTAAAATTCACCACATTAAAAGTTTTTATAAACTCACCACATCAACCCAGAAGCTTTTTCAAATATGTATTTTAAAATAAAATTAACCAAATATTTAAAAACTTCACCAAATATTTTTTAAAACTAAAAAAAAAAAATTATCTAAACATGAAAAATAAAAAAATCAATTCAAGAAAAATAAAAAATGGAGAAATTCTTTTTCAATTTATGGATTTATTTATTGTATTTAATCACATTAATTTTTCTTTTTAATTTACTTTACGTTCTGCGTCTTCACGTTCTGCTGAAAACGTTTTTAGTCCATCAATAAGAATAAATAGTACCATCAGAGTCTTGTCGTGAAAAGCCTGCATTCGTCAACTGACTGTGATGTCCTTCCACCATTAATTTAACACTATTAGGATCCTTTCTCTCATACAAAATACCTCCTATAGAAAATAGAGAGAACTTATTTTATATATGCTACTAATTTAACAATATAATAAAAATATATATTATATAGTTTGTATAAATGTTGAAAAATGTAATTCAAACCCTAATTAAACTAAACTAATTAAAATTAACGCAGCGTTTACACTGGCAAGACTTTGGTGAGTTTTGTGCTGGCTCTCTTACTTTCCCACTAAAGCACTTTAAACCAATACATAAAAAATTGACTCGAGTTACACTTAACTCTCAAAAGCGACAGGTTTTTTTTACAAGAAGTCTATAATTTTGCAGAAAGATGGGAAAATTAAGTCTATAATTTGACAGAAAGGTGGGAAAATATATTGAAATTGATGGATGGAGGAAGAGAAAAAATATTAAAAAATAACACATTTTAATAAAATTGAAACAAAATTATTTTTTATAGAAACAGGGGTTCCTTAGGAATCACTACTTTCCCCCACTCTCTACAATATTTATACGTTCGATATCCCAATGTAAGGTTCCTCGACACTGACGTTATACGCAGGAAACGTATATATTATACTCGGCTAAATGTGCTCTCAACGTAATCAACACATAAACCTCATCCAGAATTATTTCCAGAAATGGAAAATAAAAACCAATAATGGAAAAACTAAGGTTCTGTTCATTACGCGTAAGAGAAGACACAAACCGTCGAAAATGTGTTTGGGAAATATGGTAATAAACTGGAAGGATAGCATCAAATATCTGGGCATCACGGTGGACAAATGATTTACATGGATTAAACATGTTCAACTGAAAAGAATTAGCTGTGCTAAAATTCTTCATCACCTCCAACCGCTATTCAAAAATGAAAATCTCAATGCTAAGAACAGGAAGCTATTATATAACCAAATAATTCGATCGTCACTTCTATATGAATGTATGGTGTTTAACAAAGCTTCAATCACTACTATTCGCCAGCTAGAGATTGCACAAAGCCAGGCTCTGAGAAGACTTTTCAAGGTGCCATGTTACATTAGGACGAATAATATCCTCAGGGACCACAAGATGGATCCGGTCAAGAAATATATAAAGAATAGAGCCCTGAAACTATTTACGAAAGCTGACAGGATTACCATCGCCCATTATCGAATCTCAGAATGATTACAGGTTTCTCGGGAGGTATGCACATCAGGTATTGCTTAGTCTGATGAAGTGAAAAACAATAATTTAGTCAAGACGTAGAGAGGTGTTATGAAGAAACCTCGCAATTAGTAGAGAGTAAAAGTGCTCAAGTGCACTGACTCAACTTGCTTCAACATAATATATTTTTAGTTTTTATTTCCTTCGAAGAACTACGACTAAAAATGTCATCAAGTTTTTCGAAATGCTTACAATGCAATGAAAAATCTCTCTAATTATGTAGACTACATACTTACCACCACTTAGCATAACGATTAGGAAATGCTTATCTATTTGTCTGTCTATTTGTTGCTCTGTTTCTTTTTATTTGTCTATGACAATAGTAAAGTATTACATAGAGTGGCAGGTACTACATTAATAACTAATAAATATAGTTTTGGAACTAGAAATAAATCATTCCACAGGAAATTCATAGATAAAGTTAGGTTAGAATAAACCGGGTATGCTATGGATATACTTAACGCTATTGGCCTATTGTGCGTTACCGTACGCAGAACTCAGAAGTTTAAAAATCACTTTGAATCTGTGGCAAAGCCAAGAATGGTCTTTAGAGGGAGGTCCTAAATTGACCAAAATACTTTAAAAAGAAAACTACTAATAAAGTTAATCAACATGGCGTATGCTCTAGGCAGTAATATAGTAGATGTAAGGTACTTTTAATGTCGCTCCCACAACTGCCACAAAAATAAATAAACGGAAAACTTAATCTACTAGCATAGTTTCCTAAACCATTAAAGTATTCAAAAAATCGAAAAAAAATGTATATAGCTATTTATGAAGGCTATTGAAATGATTAACAGGATTTTTAAAAAAAATTGATGTTTCTTTAGTAGGCAAACACGAGTGTTAATAAGGGTTGTATATGAGTTTTTCAGATATAGAATAGTACGTTATAATATATTATTGTTATTGGCAATCTTTGTCAACACATACCACTACTTACCAATTCTTAGTGGATGTTGCAATGGTGATGGAGCCATAAAGAACCTGCGGCAAGTATTTCTCATTTTACGATATGTATATCCCACCTTATCGCCATGCGTAGAACAGGTTTCTTTTTGCATAACCATATCAACTTTGTCTGGAAATACTTCACGAACATGATTATAGCGTGACTGCATCTCAAAGTCTAGTTTATCACGGGGTATCCAATCCGTTTGTTTAAAGCAATAATGCCTGCGCACCGATGCCAATGTTTGATGATAGAACAGACGATGATTAGGTTTAATCTTAGCAATATCACTAGTATAAATAGGAAGTGGCATTGGTTTTATAAAAGTGCCCTCCTCATCCATTTCCGGCACCAGGCCACGAAATCTTGTGTATTTTCGCATCATCGTGTGCATTGTTTTTCGACGTAAGTAGCCTCAATTTTCTTCCCTAAGCCAATCAAAAGACCAAACAAAAAATCATGAAGATAAACCAAAAATAGTTTGAAGTGTTTAAGACTAATTAAAAAATGATAAAAAAAAATAAAACACATGAAAAATAAATAAAAATATGAAAATAAAAAATTATAAAGTAATTATACAATTTCTATATATAACATCCTTCTATATTTATATTTTTATTTTTTTTAATTAAAATTTCGACAGTTAAATCAAGGGTGAAATTGAATTTGTAGTTATATGCCATCCCGGATTCACGGGCGCTCTTATATTGTAAGAATTGAGCGCGCTAACGAGCTTGCTAAATTAGGCGCCTCTTCCACGGATACACTTATTTCGATCCCTGCCCCTATCAGCTACGGTCGTAGGCTGATTTATTACCATTTTTTGCGACAGGCAAATAATGAGTGAACACTTACTGCCTCAGCAGCCAGGTCAAGTGCTACTTCTATTCCAAATACAGAACTTCTAACTTAATCTGTAGAAATAAATCTGAGTTATCTAGGTTAATATCTGTCTTTACAGGACACTGGTCTATAGGACGGCATGGAGCTAGACTCGGCCAGAACTAGGTTTGAATTTTTAGGAGCCCCCTTCTTCAATTCAGTTGACGATATCTCCAGCATTAGCATTAGCCAGATTCTTGCCTTTATAAAAGCTTCTGGCTGGTTCTAGTTTGACCTTCTATCTACTACCCACTATTACCAGGTTTTTTGTGGATTCAAAACGGCTTTTTGACTAATTGAGGGAAACTCGTCCTACCTCCACCTGAACTAACTAACTAACTATGACATCGAATCAGATAATGGATCATTTTCAAATAAATAATAAAAATGTTATATACAAAAACTACAGGAAATATATGAATAATTGAACTTCTGTTCAAATTTTTAAAATTTTTGTTTACTTAAAATAAATACATGTAAATACATGAAAACCCCTTTTCATATCTCTAATATAATTCAGTAACTTTTACTATCATTGTTCTTGTTATTACTATTAACATAATTAGCATTATTTTTATTATAACTGTTTATTAATATTTATATATCTGATATTGAACTTAATTTGTAACTCATACGCTACGTTGTATTTCTATTCTTCACGAACTATTTGGCATTCTTATCGCTCCCATCTGAATCTTTGGAAGCTTGACTTACAACAAAAAGTTTTAAATGCTATCAGAATAAAATATTCTGGAGTTGGCTCTTCCCATATTTTAGTGGTTTTCATTAGAAATGGAAATCGCCATTTACTATTATTACAATACGAAATTATCAGAAAGTTCCAGAAGTATATCATTTTATGCAATCTCTATTGTACTTTTAAGTTTTGTTGAAGAATTTATAAAAATCGTTGTGATTTCTTTTAAAATAGTAATATAATAAAGACAATGACGAGATGAAAAAAAATAAAATTGGATAAGAAAAAGTGATTCAGATTGTTTACTTAATTCCAACAATAGACTTTAAAAAAATACGATTCACAAAATCTTTATCTAAAATCCTTAGCGAAATCAAGTTGCCGCTCTTTTTATTGTAATCGATCGTTGAAGATATGCCGAAGATACCGAAGAAGAGTATAAGTAGATTTGATATAAAAAAAGAGACACGTATTCCTTGTTAACTTCTTTGAAGTTTTCAGTTTAGAATCAAGGAATTGTATTCTCTTTTTTTAAAAACTTGCACCTAAGGGATTTTGATGAAAAAAAAACAAAATTCTAGTACAAATCACAATATTTCTTCATAAGCCCAGATAGAAATTCGGTTTTCCGGTACTTCGAACTCGAAGTATCGGGTCCGGAAATCGTTGCATGCTGTCGGTCACAGTTCGATTAGGTCAGGACCGATAATATAATAAATTCCAATTATGAAAGAATATGTTTTATTTATTTATTGTTTAATTAGTTACAATATTTATGCAATACGATATTAATCTATGTATTAATATGTTATATATATTAAGATACAATATTTGTTACTTTAAATAGTTTTTAGTGTTTAAATCATAAAATACGTGTTATTGAAGATTGTTTGTTTAGGGTCAAACGATCTTCAATATGGTTAGTGTGTAGCACATAAGAGAGAATGTTATGATGAGAAGTCCTGATCACGGTTGCCACTTGAAAATTTTTTCCTGTACCAAAATTGGTTTAAAAAGGTAACATTTCTGTAAAAAAGGGTCCAAAATTTTTTTTGACCTCTTTATTTTTTCGTTCTGTGTTTTTCATAGTGTTATAAATGAACAAAATATAAAATAGTGCAAAGTTGCATTTATAAAAAAAAATTAATTGGAAATATTCACAATAAAGTTGGGTCGTCAAAAATGTACCATTTTTTGAACATGAGTATCAAACGAAAAAAAAGTACCAATTTTGGTACTAAAGTACCATTAGTGGCAACCGTGGTCCTGATAACTTGCACAGAGTATGTTCAGGGAGTAAGATTCTACCCAAGAGTTTTTTATCACTTACAGGTCACTGGCAATCACAGCATTCAAATAAACCACGACTCTAGCAAACGACATCGACTGCGTCCAACAAATAAACATTAAATAGCTTTTCTGGTTTGGCAATGTTCAAAGGATAGAAGATGATATTCAATTAGAAAATGTTTCAACAAGATATGTAAAGATGTACTTTCTATAAAGAGGTGATTAAAGAAGTATTATCCATTCGTCTAAATTTAGCTTAATTTCCTCGTAATAATCATGTGGGACCACATTCAATAGAGTTTCCACCAATTAACAGTTGATTTGTGCTTGTTATTTGTAAGAAACTATATACCAATAATCTTTAAACTAATGAAAGTAATTAATTATATAATGGCAGTTAACAATAAGAATTCATCTCTATTTTTAACAACGCTTTCAATAATAAATTTAATATTCTCATATTTTTGTAATTAAATATTCATATATCAACCGACCACTGACCATAATGCAGTTCTTCAAATCATAATAATTTTGAATAAAAAAAAACTAATGGAATCCACCATTAAAATATATAAGTAAACACAATTTATTAGTACCAAGAAGTTTTTGTAACGGATTTATTATTTTTGAACGATATTGAATCTATATAACTTTGAAGCCAATATTTAGGGCACTTCTCCTTATACAAAGCAAATATATAGTGTATAATGTCTCAACAACTATTCAGTGTAAATTTTATATTAAATTAAGAAACCACAATTCAATAGTAATACGTAGGAGTTGTATTTATATGAATTTTCAAACTACATGAGAATTATAAAGTAATTAAGTGAAATTTCGTCATATTGAAAATATTTTAATGCATGCGAAACATTAAGAACTATTTAAGTATATAAATAAATGGGAAAATTAAAAAAAAGAATTTTATTAATAAGTTTAGATAAGTCTTAATGCAAGTAATGGAAGACACAATAATATATAAAAATAAATCAGTTTCATTAAATTTCCTTTGACATTTTATCTGCATTTAAGGAATATGTTTTTTTGCACTAATCAACAAAAGTTTTACATTTTAATGCACAAAATGTAGCATATTCCGGAAATTAAAGAAAATCAGTATTAAAAATAATAAAAAAAAATTGTAAATACTTGATTTTAATGACAATTAAGGTCTTCAAATTTCGCCTCCCTTAGTTTAGAAATCATTTTTATATTTAAAAAAAATTTGCCAAAAATCAAAACCCTCAATAATAACCAATTTGATAAGATGCAAATACTTTTACCGACTTTTTAATATATTTTCGACTAAAATATTTTCGTAAATCGTCAACAGATAATACGTGTTACAGATATTGGTAATGTAGTTGCCTTATTATTATTATTTTATTTTATTAACATTGTATATCACATCTTCAAGCCAATGTCTTCATTTTATAGTATTTTGAAAAAATTTTAACTAAAAGTGCTATAATGTAGCTCCATAATGCATCACATCTAGCATTTAAAATATCAAATTTTTTTTGTGGTGCAACTGACAACGCAAGTTGAATATATTGCGCAGATGCAGTATTGTGTGAAAGATGAATCTGAATATAGTCCGATTATTAACGAAAACTGCCATGAAATTGTACAAAATAGCACCAGAAGAATACAAGTTTGGCAACTAACATATATGAAAAAATTTGAATAGATCCAATGATAGCGGGATATTCGATAATAGCTTGCATTATTATTCTATATTATATCATATAGAATGGTATAGTATTCAAATGGTTTTGTGGATGATAGATCTTTTAATTCAAAGAAATTTGATATAATTTGGCTGAGAACTCTTGATGCATCCAGTATCTTGTCACTACATAGTCAAAGTGTGTAGAGTTCTGTTTTCTGTAATTTTAGGCTCACATGAAATTGACTTCGATTAATGTATATAAAATCCATATGCATAAAGCTTTTAATCTTTATAAGTTTATTAGTTATAAGTATTATTAAAGAAAAAATTATAGTATTGAAGATTTAAATAGAAGTAAAGTAAGCTTAAAGTAAAGAAGTAAAGTAGTCAGTGTAAGAAGAAGAACAAAATTTCATAGATCACACAATTCGAGAAGAACAGTAAGACATATATATGAGAAGGCTATATAAGCAGTCCACTTACTAAGTTTTAAACTTTGTGGTCAATTACCGATCTGCAAAATTAATTAAAAGTTTAAGATTTTCGAAAACGAAGAGATTCAACAATCCAGTTCCATTAATATTTAAGTGATATAGTTTTAGTTAGGTAATACCAGCGACCCTAAAGATCCATTTAAACTTATTGGTCCAATGTATTACTGTATAAGCAACTCAAAGATTTAAAAACCACCTTAACTCTTTGGCAACACTTAAAACGCTTTTTAGAAAAAGGCCTTAGAATTTACCCAAGTTCCATACAAATGGAAGCCTCTTATAGCAAATCGACGTCAACAAAGCATATGTGAGGCACAGAAATTATCAAAAGTAAGGTTTAATCTTCTAGCTTGGTTCCCTAAACGGCTGTGTGGCCCATCAATGAACTTACTACAAGTCTTACGTGTCAGTTTAATGAAAGTGGAAAATTTTTTTACAAAAACGTGGTATTAATCTTTTATTAAATAGCTTAACACAAAAACTATTCAACAAATGTTTACATGATGTCAGTGATATGCCCAG